TAGATGGAGAAGCTGTCTGGCTATAGAGGAAGAGAACAAATTCTTCACCTTATCACAACATTCAATGGTAATAATTCTTAAATTGCTAAAAGCAGTATCTTTGAACCGGCCTCGAAATATCTTCTCCAAATTGATCAAATTCTGGAGAAATAATACTTCCAACCTGGGAAATGCATTGAAAAGAACCCCCTCCGCTGATTTAATGATATGTTGAACCTCTGGAGCATTACGGACATAGAGACGCTTCGAATCTGGAAAACCTTCCGTATTTAACTCATCAACCACATTCTCTACACCTGCCAACTCCCTTAGATGTAGCTCTTCAGTCTTCTTCAACAACATTTTAACTAAATCATTAGAATTAATGGATGCATTTAAATGCAACTTCAATATTCTTGAGCTTTCAGAGGAACTATACTGGCCTTCCCACTTACGCCCAATGAATATTTTGAATTTTTTCAAATTTTCAAAGAACAAATCTTTTGGGATCATCTGAATATCAGGAATGCATACCTCTAAATTAGTCAATTTCTTCAAATGCTTCAACTCAGCAAGGCTCGCATTTCTTTGATTTTCATTTTCCTCAACCTCCCATCCATCGAAGCTGTTTCCCAGGTACAGTTCCTCTAATATGGACATACTTGCCAAGACACATGGGGGAATTATTTTGAGTTTAGCACAGACACTCAAATCTAATAACTTTAGCCGAGTCAACTGCCCAATTTCCCCTGGAAGCTCTTCAAACTCAGACCACCCAAGGCTAAGAATTTCTAAATTCTTCAGCTCTCCAATAGTACGTATGTCCCCCAACACGCTTTGATCCAAGCATAATGTATGGAGGTTCTGCAAGAGGCAAATTGATGAAGGCAGGGATGACATATGCATGCCAGTCAAATCCAATACCTTGAGTCTTGGCATTTCCTTGAAAAAGTTTGCTGGAATTTGCAGAGAAGGATTTTTATTGTCCAACCGAAAGAGAGTAAGATGGAGGCTTTCTAACTCTTCAGGTAACCCATCAACATTAGAATGTCGCAGACAAATCCATTTGAAATCTTTCCTTGTCTCCATGTCTGACCACTCCTTCGGAACATGATCCCCTGTTAGCAGCAACCCCTGACGATCCCTACTTGTAATTGATACAGCCACATCATGGATAAGGTCATGCATGTCAAAACGGTTATTGTCAGAATCATCAATGAGCAAAGAAGCGGCTCTGAGCTTGCTTATCAAAGTAAGCACTTCATTTCGTGCTTCCTCTATGGTATTAGCAAATAAGCCTAAGCCCACACCATACTTCAACAAGTCTCGAAGAAAAAACTTGTGACCCATCAGGCAACAAAGCAAAAATGTTTTCTTGAGCTTCTCGCTTTCCAAATGAAAGTAACTGACCTCAATAGCAGAATAAACATTTGCAGATATGCCATCAAAGTTTTCTGAAGAGGGCCTTTTTAGTATTCTCACAGCATCCATCCATTCGTAAGGCTGCTTATTTTTCAAAGCCATTGCCATTGTTGTAATTGCAAGGGGCAAGCCCCCACATCCACGGACAATCTCAATAGCTGCGCTATGTATATCATCACTCTCTGCTCGGTCACCGACTATGCTTTTAAGCAACTCCCATGCTTCTTCATCTTTTAAATGATGAAGTGGAAAGTTCTGCTGAGAACCCATTAGATCGGATAAAACATTAGAATCTCTGGAAGTTAGCAGAATGTTGCATTCTGCATATTCTTCTCTTGATGAGCTCCCCTCTATTGTTTTGGGCTCGTTTCTCAGAGGAATTCCAAGCTCCTCCAAATCTATTCCAGGCCTCCAAATATCATCCAGAATGATCAAAACCTTCTTCATTTTCTTCAGCCTTCCTCTAATACATTCAGCAGCATCCTCTGCTCTAGTTCCATAAGGAAGCAGATCTAGATCCAAGCCACGGGCAATTTCAACTTGAACATTTCTCAAGTCTGCATTCCTCGAAACAAGAGCCATAACTACCACATCGAACAGCTTGTCTTGCTCTGCTTTTCTTTTTATTTCTTTGGCCAGCATCGTCTTCCCCATGCCAGGCATCCCGTGCACCCCTATAATGATGCTGCTTTGACTCTGCAGTGCCCTCATGATCCTCTCCAGAACATCCTCTCTTGAGGAAAAGCCCTCAAAACCTTTGACAGGCGCGGCCACTTGTTTTTGTAGAGCAGGAATTTGGGAAAGTGGGAGGTCGAATTCACGAGCTTTGTTCACAAGATCAACAATAACCTCAGAATTCTCCTTGGCTTTCTTGCTGAGTTGGTAACGAGATTTCGGATTGAGACACAGCCCAAAGAAACACTTCTTCTTGGCATTTCCTTCAGCATCAGCTACTAATTTCTCTGCAGCATCAGGTACTAATTTCTCCGCAGCTTCAATGCAATTGTTGGCCCTGGTCAGCCAATTCCTGAGCTCTGGCATAATCTCTTCCCCTCTTCTCTCCACAGTTTCAGCATACTTCTTCGCAGTCTCTCTCTTATCCTTGAGCTCAGCAACTTTGTTCTTCAAATAGTCAACATTATTGTCGCACTTGATCACAAGAATAACTGGCTTTGAGATAAGAGTGAAAATTCCACTAAACAAGTTCCCAACTAAATTTCCAGCAGCATTCTGACAAACCGCACAAAGACAAGGCTCGGCCATCTTCTAATTCTTTT